TTGGCCGAGCTCCCCCCAGCCTCGTCAGCACCTTTGGCTGGAAAAAACACCATCTCCGGAGGCTCCTGTGCGGGGTGAGGAGAGAGTGCAAGTGGAAATGCAATGCCATATCCTCCCCGGGGGACAAGGGGACGGCAGACACAGCCCCACGGCTGGGGGGGAGGGACAAGGGCAGGTGGCAAAATACACAACTGCCTTTGTGCCACCCTGCACCAAGGCTGGGACTGGGATCAGCGCCAGGCAATGGGGGTCACAGCCCCTTTGCCCTGTCCCACATTACACCCTGGCTTTTGGAGATCTGGGGGTTATTTCCCTGCACAGCTGCCTGGTGCTCGCAGCTAGGGGAATATTTATGTGTCCCTGGGGTTATTACCAGCCTTAGATGCTGCTCCCCTTCCCCGGATCACCACAAAGCAGTCTTGAGTTGTGGAATGTTTTCGGGAGAGGGAAGGGATCAGGCTGCACACGAACTCTCCTGCACAATTCAGGCTCCAGCCTCGGGGCTATTTTTAGCAGCTCCCTCTAAGATGCTCTTTCGGTTGCAGTTTTATATGTGAAACTTAATATATGAGGGAGGGGGGAGGGGAGTGGGGCTGGATTCTGGCACGTCCCCACTGGTTGGGAGGCTTATCCCAGCCTCAGCGACAGGAGTCTGATGCAAACCTAAAATCATCCATCCAAGAGCTCTCGTGTCCTGGCATGCAGGTGGCAGCAGGGGACAGGCAGAGCTGATGGCTCGGGGGGCTGCAGTCAGCCCCAGCCTCAGCCACAGTCTCCAAAATCCTCACCTGAGTCCCCACCTCTTCCCACACCTCATCATGGGCTCAGGGACCTGTTGTCACCTGGTGCTGGCCCTCAGCACATGCACTGAGGCAGGATGTGCACAGGACCAGCAGGAGCAGCAGGGATTTTGGGAAGCCCACCCAGCACAGTGGGGCTGGCCCCAGTTCCAGCCAGAGTAGCAAGGAGCGACCTGGGAGGTCCCTGTCCCACGGTAGAACAGAGAGGGAGAGAGAAACCTTTCCCTTTGCCACAGGATGTGAGGGGACAGCAGCTGGCAGGGCAGAGCCCCGAGCATCTCACAGCAGCTTTTGATCCTGTTGGGCCAAACGCTGCTCCAGGCTCCTTGCCAGCACCATGGCAGGAGGTGACCCCCAGTGGGAAATGATGATCCCACCCCAGGCACACCAGGGATGCACGAAGGAACAGAACAGCAAGATCAGTGACCCCAAACCAGCCTGGCACTGCTGTTACTCGGCACATACACCTGCTTCTAACACAAAACCATCCCCCTGCAGAGCAACATGGGTTGATACAGTACCTGCTCTTCAGAGGGTGGAAGTGCCCAAATCTCCAAGTGCTGCTAAGCCAAAGCTGGCCAGAGGTGAGGGAAAGAGTTGCTCTGCTCCAGAGCAACACCTCCCAAACCTGCTGCTTGTTCTGTTGTATTTCTGGCCACTTCAAGTACTGAGCTTGGGGTTCCCCGAGCTCGGCTCTGGTCCTGTACAGAGATTTTGCAGCCCAACCCATCCTGCTTGAGACAGGACCAGCAGTGGCAAAGCCCTGTGGAAAACAACAGCACCAGTGCAAAGTGATCCAAAATGCATCACTGACCCAGGGTTTTATCGTTTCGCCACAGGGAAAACAGGTCACACTGCACACAGCTCACCTGGGGTCCCAAAAGGGCTAAATGGGTACATCCATCTTCTGCTCCTCACTGCCCTTTGAGATGAGGAGAGAGCAGCACTCAGAGACTGAGGATACTTGCTGCCTCCTCACCCTGCAAGTCCCTAATTTGGGGTGGAAAAAGAAGCCAAAAAGCTTCTTTTGTGAGCAAACAGTCTCCTTCCCACCAAACCCAGCCTTGCAGCCCTGCTGCTCCCATGGGCAGAGCCTCTCCCCAGCCCCACAGAGCCACACGCAGCCACAGCATCGTGGAAATGAGTTTATTGACACGGACGGCAGGTAAAGCCTGGAGAGCAACACAACGACGCGGCCAACACTGGAGCGAGCGCGGCGGCAGGAGGGGAGGGCGGAATGTCACCCGGGAGCCCAGGCTCTGCCCTGTGGCACAGACACCTGCACACCCGGGAAGCTGGGAAGAAATCTGGCAAGAGAAGGGGGTGCTCAGCATCCCCTCCCCAGGTCGAAGCTACACTCTCCTCCCTGCCCTGACAGAGCGTCCTGCTCAGGGCCACCGGCGTTTCCTTAATTGCTCTGCTAATGACTTTTGCAGTGCACCCGCAGGGCTCGGAGCAAATCACCTCCCAGCACATGCTCAAGGGCTGGATGGCTCCAGCTCTGCCCCACTTTTTCCCCAGCCAGAGCACAGGGATTCCTACACAGGGACACCACTTTCCTCAGGTCCTGCAGCTCCTGGGCCCTGCTGGAGTCTCTCCCAGAGCACTGTGACCTTTTCCCAGCACTGGTTTCTTGGCTGCACACAGTGCCAAAGCCCTGATGAACGATCTCCCACCGTAAAACATTTATTGACTTTGAAAGTGGCATCTAAAAGGACGACATGGGGGTTGCTACACGCAAGAGCTTTGTTAGCAGGGGAGGAAATGGTGTCCAAGCATGCTGGGGAGGGCTGGATAGGGACTTGGATTAAGCAGGACAAGCTATGGATGGAGCAGGGACATGCAAGAGGCTTTGCTTTCACTGCTGCTGTTGCAGCACTTAGTGGTTGCAATGGGGAGAATCCACAACCATGGACAGGAAGGGAAGCAGTCCTGGCCCGAGGGACAGGTCAGAAAAGAGGGGCCAGGGCATGGAGCTGCTCGGGACAGGGGGTGAGAGCAGGAACTCAGCTGGCCCTTGTCACCGTGTGCCTCTGGGCACAAAGAGCTGAGCTGCAAAGGGGAAAGATGCTCCATGATCTGCTCAGGTCAGCCCAGCTGGAAACTAAAGGCCCCCAGGCTGGCAAGGAGCAAACACC